CACCGCATCTTATAATACGAGCAGCTGGCTACTCTAGCCTGGTAAAGACCAATTGTAATGACACCCTTATACCTCTCCATGCTTTCTACACTCTGTGTAGAGGTGAATTCTTGGGCCATATTTCAGAAGAAAGTCTGATCAACTAGAACAAGGGTTCTTAATCTGAGTTCCATGGCCCTTAAGGGACCCATGATTAGATTTTAGGGGCTATCCTCATTTTTAAGAAATATATTTTAACAACTCTTAAGATATAATTTATTTCCTTTGTATTCCTGTCTATTTTATCATATTATTCTGAGATTCTGATTCTATAAGCTTCATCAGACTGTCAAAGGGGACCATGACACAAAAAATGATGAAGAACCCCTGAGTTAGCAAGAAGAAGGCAACCAGGTTGGTGAGATGACTAGAAACTATGCCAGATAAGAACTGATGAAAGAACCAGGGATTTTGGGTATGGAGAAAACTAAAAGAAAGCCATCATATCTGATATCTGTCTTCAAGTAATGGAGGGACTGATTTAAGGGAAAGGTATTAAACTTGTTCAATTTGACCCTAGAATAGTACCAGGAGTGATTTGGTGAAAACAACAAGAAAGTATAGTTCAAATTAAACTAAGCCTGTGCTGTGCCTTTTAATTGTCTGTATTCCATTCTATATTTGAACTTCTTGTATCATAAAGGAATGTTTCTGACTAACTGGCTCTCTATTATCGATTTTGAGCCAAAGAAAACCTTAGAGATTATCTAATTTCACCCAGTTATTTTAAGGAAGAGTTAACTGAGGACCAGAGAGTGACTTTTCTGAGGTTACATAGCAATTAATTAAAGAGCTGAGACTTCAGCCCAAGATTTGGAACTGTAAATCCCATGCTCTTTCCATTACTCTCTGTTTAATACTTTGGTTGCTGAGCCATTTGCATGAATCAAGCAAATATGGAGCAGGTAGGATATGATTTGTCCTTTTGTCCTGGGCTGGCTCCAATTTCTCCTTCTTTTATAATCTTGCCTCCTGGCTAGTTAGATTCAATTTAGTATGTCAATTTAGAATAGCAAACATTTAAAAATGCTCTTAGCTTGTACAAGGTACTGTGTTAGGTGCCGGCAGTAAAAAAAAAATAAATAAATAAAAAGAAAGAAATGCATCCCTTCCCCCTATTCTATATGTATATGTCTTAACATTTGACTTCAGGGAGCATAGGAAAAAAAAAGTTTGGTATAAGGTAGGATGGAATAAGGACAAAGAAGAGGTCTAGACCAAGTGCTCTAAGAAATTAGAAAAGAGAGAGATTACTTTCAGCTAATAGTAATGGGACAATAATATGGAAGGGCTTCAGAAATGAGGTAGTAACTCAGCTGGTTCTAGAGGAAAAAATATTTCTGAAGTTGGAGATGAAGAGAAAATGTTATTCAGTCATCAGGGACAGTTTGTGCAAATGCACAACAGAAGGAGGGAGATGGGCAGAGATTAAGAATAAGTTAGCATTTCTAATTTGGCTGGAATTTGCAGTGGACAAAGACAAGTAATGTGCAATTAGTATGAAAAGGCAAGTTGTAGGGAGAAAGTAGAGGATCTTGACATCTCAGTTCAGGACTTTTTATTTTATCCTAGAGGAATAAAGGAATCACCAAAGAGTTTTGAACTGAGTGATGATATGATCAGATCTATACCTTAGGAAGATTTTATTGTTGTTGTTGCAGCTGTAATACAAAGAATAGATTGGACAGGCAGGAAAAAGGAAGCAGAAAGATGAGTTAGGAACTAGGAAGGAAAATTTCAATTTATTTATATTTTAGGTGGACTGTGGTAATAGGCTCCATGTTTAGGCAAAATAAGTTATAGATTTATGAGGCAGGAACAAACAACATGATGTCAAATCCTATCATATTGCTGAGCTTCTGACGTTTGAGAAATCCTAACTAAGAGGTCTCAGTTGTTTGAATTAAGTGGTTTCAAGTTATGGAGAATTGACAATGCTGATGAATATGGAGGGAGTTAAATGAATTTTCACTGTTTACCAAAATATATAATATTTGTAGACCTTGGTTTACAGATTGAACTGTGAAAATTTATATACATTAGTAAATGAGAATATAACATAATGGGGATATATGTAGATAGAATATAAACCTATGAAATTGCTTCCTTCCATCACCCAGAGAACTTTCTGTCATGACTTCATAGTATATAAGTACAAGACTCACTTAGGGAAAGATAGAGCATGCATAGATTATGAGCTGGGCTGCGGTGAAAGAAGTATTGAGGAGATCGTAGGTCCATGGAAGTATCCAAGCTGGGATATGGGCATTCCCTCTAATCATTCATATTGAAATTCTTCCTTGCCTTTTCACTTGAGATGATTCTATCCATACTTTTCCGTATAGTTTACATAGCATATAATTCGTTAGTATGTAAGTTTGTTTGTTTTTACCAATATATGTCTTGCTACATTAGCATGTCTATGTATTTGTGCATTTATTCATATATCCATTTATTTCACTGTATCTATCATTCTATCTATCTATCTACCTATCTATCTAGCTATCCATTTGTCTATCTATCCATTTCTCTATCATTCTCTTTCATTGCATGAGTAAAAATTTTATTCATCTTCATGTCTCCTCCAGCCTCTAGAAAAGGCCATTTCACAGAAGACTAACACTTTCTGAGTGTGAGATTTAATTGGTGTGGGAGCTTTGTCCATTGATGAAGATCATAAATCCCTCCTCACCCCCACCTCCAACCTAACCCCTTATGACTGGGAATCCTGTCTTCAGGGAATTTCCATGGCTGAATAATCTACTGCCTCACATCACAACTGATTATGAGCTTCTCTGAATTTAGCTAGGGTGGTCCAAAGATTACCAAACAATCTATGACCAAGCCTTTGCAGCTTGGAAAGACCTAGTATCACTTGTGCTTTATGGGTATAGATTTCAACATGCCTGGGTATCTTTCCCACCAAGATCAAGTTTCAGAGGATAACTTTAGTGGGGGATAGTTATTATCCACATAACTCACATTTCTACAACCATTGAGACACAAAATATCTACATGGTAAATAAATGTTAGGAAAGAGGGGAATAAAGGAGGATGGGAAGAAGGCAAGAAATAAAGGAATGAATGGAGGGAGAGAGGTAGCACAAAAAAGAAGGAAGAGGAGAGAGAAGGTCAAAGGAATGAAATTGAATGTAATTTAACTTTTGCTTAATGACACTGGGATCATTATGAATGTGAGTTATTGTGCTTCTCCATATTGTAGTGATGTATCTGTTGGATATTTGCTCCTACATTACATCTGTTCTTTTCAGGTTGCCATCAGACCGTCAGCAACCACTTCTCAGGGCTTTTTCTTTCTCCCTACCACTTCTCTGTACTGCCTTTTATAAATTCCTGCTTCTATTCTGTTGACTGATGGGAAACAAGGGAATCAAACTTGTAAGGCCCTGGATGATTCTAGATTAGTAAATTACATGTGTTTAAATGCATAAGGCTGATTAGTAATAATGATGATGTCTCTCATTTACATAGTGCTTTAATGTATGCCAGATACTTTACATGTTATCTCATTCATTCTTCACGGCAATCCTATGCGGTAGGTGCTATTGTTAACTCCATTTTTCAGATGAGAAAACTGAGGCTGTGGGAGGTTAAATTTTTTGTCCAAGGTCACACAGCTGGTAAGTGTCTAAGGCAGGATTTGAACTAAAGTATTCCTGACTCTGAGTATAGCACCCTGTCCTCCAGTAAATGCTTATTTTGGCATACCTAAAAAAAACACACTTTTTTTTTACTAACTTTTCTTAAAACTATTACAAACAAGAAAATGCATCTATATATAATGAATTGTTTTGTTTTTTCTTAGACCATCCTGTGAATCTGCATACTTTACACACTAATTGTGTGACCATTGGCTGATCATTTCATTTTTCTGACTCTCAGTTTTCTCATCTGTTAAATGGGGATGACAATAACAATAACTGTATAAGGTAAGTGAATTAATGTATACAGAACCTTTTGGCAACCTGAAAGCCCTCTATTTACGGCATCTATTTTTTTATTATTGTTGCTTATGTTGTTACTGGTGGTGATGATAGAGAGGAAGTCTCATGTAACGAATAGAGCTCTGGACATGGAGTCAGTGAGACCGGCATCAGAGTAAATGAACAAGTCAACATCCCTGAGCCTCGGGAAATTCTCTCTTACCTATTAAATTAAATAGGATTGGTGATATGCGTCAGTGGAGGAAGATTCCACAGCAAAGAGATCACAAATCCTTACATATTTTCACTTTACACATGACCTTGTTTATCTGTTACTTTATATGGCAGTCTCCAAGATTCAAAACGCTGCTTGGTATTTGGCAGAATTGGCTGTTTTCAGGAAGTTTGTCTGTTAGTTCTTCAGGGTTCCTGGAGACTAAAAGTGGGGGTACCAACTAATGTTTAATCTCAGTTGTTGGGAGAGACACAAGAGAATGATAAGAATCCATTTTCAAATAGCTTACGGTCTGGTTGGGGAGATAAACTTATTTTATTTTATACCATCTTATATTGTTCACTGTTTCATTTGGTTTAAACTCTATGAGACTTAGTAGAAATGATTTAATAATTTCGAGAAAGGAAAGCTGAATGTTGGTAGTTATACTTTTGGAAGGTTTCATGGAGGGAGGAGGATTGAGAAGGACCTTGAAGGATGGGCAAAAAGATGATATTTTTGAACATTAAATATATTTAATTAAATATTGATGTTTACAGTTTGACAGGATAATACTTTCCTACCCCTAAAATGGGAAAGAAAACCTCAAAATTTGTTGCAAACTTCAAACTCTTCGTGCAGATTGCTAAAGCAAAAGTCCAGTTTGTTTCTGATTTTTAATCTATTTGTGTACAACATACTGTGTAGGGTGTTTCATTTCCAGATGCGGTAGATTTGATTAATCTGCTGAATGGAAGTTACCTCTTCCTCTGGGAGATGTTGAGCTGTCCCAAAGAACCAATATGGCAGAGGCAAATGTAACCTTTGTGACTGAATTCATTTTCTTGGGTCTCTCTTCTCAAACAAGGGCTCAACTCATCCTTTTCATCATGTTTTTATTCTTCTACTTATTAACAGTTCTTGGCAATCTCATCATCATCACAGTAATTCAGATTGAACCCCATCTCCAAACCCCCATGTACTTTTTCCTAACTAACCTGTCTTTCTTAGATATCTGTTATACTACCACCAATGTCCCACAAATGCTTTCCAATATGGTAGGGAAGAAAAAGACGATCTCCTTTACTGGCTGTGCAATCCAGATGTATTTCTCTCTTTCCTTTGGGATGATTGAATGTGTCCTCTTGGGGGTCATGGCATATGACAGATATGTTGCTATCTGTGCTCCATTACACTACACAGTCATTATGAACAGGCACACTTGTATTCAAATGGTCATCATTTCCTGGTCTAGCAGCTTCCTGAGTTCTATGGTGATCAATGTCCTCACCTTGAGTTTGCCTTACTGTGGGCCTAATGTGCTGAACCACTTCTTCTGTGAAGTACCCTCAGTATTGATGTTAGCTTGTACAGACACCTCTGTCACAGAGCTGGTAGTGTTCATCTTTAGCATCATAATTGTCTTCATTCCCTTCCTTCTCATCGTGATATCCTATGGCCGTATCCTCCTGTCAGTCCTCAGGATGCGCTCTGCCGCAGGACGACTCAAAGCATTGTCCACCTGTGCCTCCCACTTGACTGTGGTGGTTCTGTTCTATGGGACAGCCATCTTCATGTACATGCGTCCTCAGTCCAAGTCGTCCCGGTCTGGGGGGAAGATCATTGCTGTTTTCTACACTGTTATCACACCAATGCTCAACCCCCTGATCTACAGCTTAAGGAACCAGGATGTGAAAGGGGCCTTGAAAAAAATCATCAGCAAACACAGCCTGGTATAGTGCACAGAGATAGGATAAAAACTCAAAACACTTTGGTTGGAATATTGGCCCAGACATTCATTGTGTGAGCTTGGTAAATTATTTCATCTCATATTAGGGATGCCCTGCCTTTGGAGTGATATTCTAAGGGAAAAACTCAGGACTTTTATTCCTTCCTAATGAGGAGAGATTGAACTATCATCCTAAAATGTACCTATAGTATGACTCTGGACTGAGCCCAAGCTTCAGTTTTAATTAAGTAATATACGGCTTTTAAAAATGTACTACTCACAATAACTTTGTGAAGTGGGCAACGCAGATATTAGTTGAGAGGAGAATGAAACATTTAGATTTTGAGTGATTTGTCCAGAACTGCAAAGTGAGTAATGGGCAGAGTCAGGTGTTCCTATAGATAAGGTTTCAGGTTCAGGGAAAGGACGTGATTTTCCCAGGGTCACATAGCCAGAAAGTATCAGTATCAAACACAAATCTCCTGATGCTTAGTTAAGTACATTTTCCATTATCAGACAGCAGCTTCTATATCATTTAATTACTGGTCAGTTTCATTTGGAACACAGAGAATTACCATGGGATATTACAAAGGTACCCTATGGTAAGAGTCAGGAGACTTGGTTTTCATATCTGTCCCTTACACTTACTTGTTGTGTGATCCAGTAAATAATTTTACTGTTCTGTGCCTCAGTTTCTCCATCTTCAGAATGAGGATCATAATGCTTCATTACCTATTCCACAGCAATATTGTGAGTAAAGCTTTGTAAACATCAAGCCATAATATAAATATAAATGTGAACTTATTTTGTTTTAAATATAGACAGAAATTTCCTTGAGAGCATGAATTATTTTGTTTATATCTTTGTAGCCCTAGGATCTTTCAAAGTACCATAATGGCTTAATAAACATGTATTGTGTTGAATTAAATGCTTATCTGTTGCATATTTTATATAGTATTCCCAATCAGATATAGAATGTAAAGTATGGCTTCTGACATTCCTTACAATTCAGAGATTCCATCCTTTCCTATGAGCCACAATTTCCTGAATGGACAAATGAGAGGTTGAACTAGAGTATCTCTAAATTTTCTTCTGACTCTGAACCCATGTGATCTTGTGAAAAGAACTAATACAAGGCTTGTGTTCATTGTATGAGTCCATAATCATAGATTTACAACAGACAAAAACTAACAGATTATCTTGTCCGGTCCTCCATTATAAAAATGCTGGGGACTCTCCAGGTCCTCATGCTTCTCTGAGATAATAGGCTGGAGCAATCTGCTTGTCAAGGACCCTACAACTGATCTGCATTGTGATACAACCATGCCTCCTAGATACTAGAATAACTGGACGTATGGTGAAAAATAAAGTCAACCAACCAGTTGTTGAGCCTGATGAATGTCAAAATTCCAGATTGGCTTTCTTCCCAGAACTGACTTAAAATTTTTTCTACAAGAAGCCAAACAACAATTTCAGTCAGGATATTCAAGGAAAAATCAGTTAAGCCAGATTTGAATTGTTGAGCACATAAAATAGTCAAAGTTGCATTTGTTTTCTTTTCCAGTCATTATCTAGCCTCCATTCACAGTGGTGGAGCGGAAAGAACCCTAGACTAGACAAGGAGTCAGGAAACTTTGGCTCTACCATTTGCCAGTTGTGTGACCTTCAGCAAGTCACTTCCCTTGCCCTTGTGGTAGTTTCTTTATATATAATGTGAGGCATTGGCTAAAATTATCTCTAAGGACCTTATCAGACCTAACTTTCTCTGATTTATGTTCTAATGTCCCACTTGCTTCTGACATTGTATTTTCTATGATACCTTCACATTTTGACATTCTATGTTCTAAAGTCTCTCCCAGTTCTAACATTTTAAGAATCTAACAATAAAATAACCTTTGTTTTGACGTTTGCTGTTGAAAATCATTCTAGAACATATGACTCAATTAGTTTAGTCTAATGAAGACAAAGGAGTTTTTCACTGATGGCTGAACATCTTGGTTAATCTCAAAAACACCACAGAAAGGCAGCAGTTACCTAGTTGACAGAATATTGACATGGAGATGGAAAGACAAGGGTTCAAATCCCACCTCTGACACTTATTGTGTGATGATGAACAAATCTGAGCCTCAGTTCCCTTTATATGTATATATACATATATATATATATACATATATATATAATATATACGTGTGTGTGTGTATGTGTGAATATATATATATCTCCATGATCATTATTAAGTCCTCCAGTCTAGTCAAAACTGTTGTAGGAGATTGAGCCTCATACCAAGCATACAACAGAAATCAAGTTTGTAACATTTAGATACTGACAGCAGCTGCTTTTCTGGTCATTTGCCTCTTTGTCCTTAAAAGTGAGTGTGAAAAAACTGAGGGCTCCAGGGAGTTCTAAAGTCCACCTTGCCCAGTTATGGTTTTGGTGCCTATAGAAAAAGGGCCGAGAGGGAAAGAGGTGACTGTCTTGAGCTCTCTCCCAAAGCCCTCCAAATACCTAAAAAAAATAGCTCTAAACAAATTCTAAAGCAGCAGAACACACAAAAAGACAGAGTGAAACAAACTTCCAGCCAAAGACAGCCTGGATGGTTGATTGGAAAGGTATATTGCATGGGTTGGGGAGAGGAGCACAGTTCGCCGTGGGCGCTCAGGCCCCAGTGACCCTGGAGCAGGCCCAGCGGTTTCCAGACTTCTCAACCCTTGCATGCCAAAGACAACTTAGAAGGTCAGTGGGAAAAGTCTGTGACTGGGGTGAGAGAGGAGCTAGGTCTCAGCCACAAGTCTAGAGTGCGGCCTGGGGCCGCAGCTTTTTGCTGAGCTTCTAGCCCACAGACTGAGGGGAAATTGAGTGGCTGATCTGAGGGGGATTGCAGAGATCTCTTTGCCAGTGCTAAGGCAGGAATTGCCCCTTATCATACCACTCTGGAAGAACTGGAAATTTACAGGTCCTTAGAAGTACCTCTGAAAATATCTGTACAAACCCCCAAAGCTTGGGACAGTACACTCTTCACATTGGAAGCAGACTTTTACCTTAATGAAGAGTTTAAAACTCAAGTAATTGGCCAGGATCATGAGTAAGCAACGCAAAAAGAGTCAGACTATATTATCTTACTTTGGTGACAAAGAAGATCAAAACATACAACGAGAAGAAGACAACAAAGCCGAAGCTTCTGCATCCAAAGCCTCCAAGAAAAATATGAATCAGTCCCAGGCCTTGGAAGAGCTCAAAAGGGATTTTGAGAAGCAAGTAAGAGAAGTAGAGGAAAAACTGAGAATGATGCAAGAAAATCATGAAAAAACAAGTCAACAGCTTGTTAAAGGAGACCCAAAAGATACTGAAGACAATAACACCTTAAAAAATAGCCTAATCCAAATGGCAAAAGATGTCCAAAAAGCCAATGAGGAGAAGAATGCCTTAAAAAGCAAAATTGGCCAAATGGAAAGGAAGTCCAAAAGATTACTGAAGAAAATACTTCCTTAAAAATTAGAATAGAGCAATTGGAAGCTAGTGACTTTATGAGAAATCAAGACACTGTAAAACAAATCCAAAAGAATGAAAAATTAGAAAACAATGTGAAATATCTCATTGGAAAAACAATACTGTAGCCAAATTCCAGAGTTCCCAGGTCAAGGAAAAAATATTACAAGCATCCAGAAAGAAACAGTTCAAGTATTGTGGAAACGCAATCGGAATAACACAAGATTTAGCTGCTTCTACATTAAGGGACCACAGGGCACGGGATATAATATTCTGGAGAGCAAAGGAGATAGGATTACAAACAAGAATCACCTATTCAGCAAAACTGAGTATAAACCTTCAGGGGAAAAAATGGTCATTCAGTGAAATAGAGGACTTTCAAGCATTCTTGATGAAAAGACCAGAGTTGAACAGAAAATTTGACTTTCAAATACAAGACTCAAGAGGAACATGAAGAGGTAAACAGGAAAGAGAAAATCATAAGAGACCTTATTATGGTTGAACTGTTTACATTCCTGCATGGAAAGATGATATTTGTAACTCATGAGACCTTTGTCAGTATTAGGGTAGTTGGAGGGGAAAAAATTATATGTACGTATAGATAGATATAGATAGATAGAGGGCACAGGGTGAGTTGAAAATGAAGGGGTCATATCTGGAGAACAAAATTAAGGGGTAAGAGAGGAATATACTAGGAGAAGGAGAAAGGAAGAGGTAGAATGGGGTAAATTATCCCACAAAAAAAAAAAACAGAAAAGAGAAAGCTCTTACAGTGGAGAGGAAATGGGGGAAGGTGAGAGGGAATGAGTGAAACTTATTTTCATAGGACTTGACTTAAGAAGGGAATAACATACACACTCAATTGGATGTGGAAATCTGTCTTACCCTATAGGAAAATGGGGGGGGGAAGGGGACAAGAGAGTAGGGGAATGATAGAGAGGAGGGCAGATTGGGAAAGCTAGTAATCAGGAGCAAATACTTCTGAGGAGGGACAGGGTCAAAAGAAAGAATAGAATAAATGGGTGGGTGGGATAGGATTAAGGGAAATAGAGTTAGTTTTTCATAGCATGTGTACTATGGAAGTGTTTTGCATAACTGCACATATATAACCTGTATTTAGTTGCTTGCCTTATCAATGAGGGTGGGTAGGGAGGGAGGAAGGGAGAAAATTTGGAACCTAAAGTTTTAAAAACAGATGTTTAAAAAAATGTTTTCACATGTAACTCGGAAATAAGAAATACAGGAAATGGGGTACAGAAATCCATCCTGCCCTACAGGAAAATTGAAGGTGAAGGGGATAAGAGAGTAGGGGGGAGATATAGAAGGGAAGACAGACTAAGGGAAGGGATATTTAGAATGCATGCCATCTTTGGGTGGGGGAAGGGGTGAGATGGGGTGAAAATTTGGACCTCAAAATCTTGTGGAAGTAAATGTTGAAAACAAAAAAAATAAAGAAAAATTACGACTAAAAAATAAAAAAAGAAAAAAATAATAAAAAAAGAAAAGAAAATCACAACCTTGTAG